AAACAAACAGCAGTCACTAAGACATACATCAGGAGCCGACTCGATGGAGTTTAATGTCATACCCAGGGAAGGGCACAGATCTGTTTTGAAAGGTGGAGGGGGAGGGCATTTTGTGAGTTGACACCCATCTCAGCCCCACAATGGTTGGAGTTGAGGTGAGAAAATTTGAGGAAATAGTACCTCTAGATGGCTAGAAATGACACTTTTAGTAAAACTCATCATCATCACATCACCATTAGTCAACTTTTAAAGAAACTTGCAAAAGGATAAAAACGAAATTGAACCACAGTATCGCATTTCTATCTTAAAAGACCTGGCCTGAGATCTATGGATTTAAGATTTTTTTAAATCACGCTTAGGCCTATGTGTTCTATTATGCCTATGTATAACTTGTACTGATGCATATTTACATGTTTAGAAGTATTAATTTTGAGTGATCCCAGGAAAAAATTTGTATTGACTCAAGAATAAGCTTTAAAATTTTAACACTGTGTACAAAGGGGGGATGGGGCCGCGGATGGCTGAGGTTGGTGAACCCGGGCCTCTATTTCTGCGAAAGTCCCTCTGGCAGTGGACACCTCCTTCTATTTCAAATTCCTGAATTATCCCCATCCATTATGTTAAAGTCCATCCATGGATCTATTGTCCATCCATGGCCCCGCTAGAGTAGTGGACGTATTCGCTTCAAAACAACAAAAAGGGATTTATTGCTTTCCCACCCTGTTCCCAATTAGATCAGTATAGGCATACCGTGGTGGTGGTGGTGGCGGTGGCGGCGGCGGCGACGACGATGACGACGATGATAATAGGCCTCCTACTAGTAGAAATATTAAATCTCGAATAGACAGCTAGCACATCATTATTTTTTATTTATTAGTTGTGGCAGGTTCTATGGCATCCAGTTTTTGTTTTCTGCCCATCTCTTTTAGCGATTCATCTTTCGTCATTTTTAATTGATCACAAGGAATTAATTATTTGGATTACGTTGAATCATGGAAGTACTTTATACTGTACATCCTTGATGTTGATTCACAAGAGTTACAAGTTTCTCACTATGGACGAGTCGATTTCAATATTTTATTAGAAAAAATGGTATTTTTGTGAATATGTAATAATATGTTTGTCAAAATGTAATCTTTGACCTAAAATTTAATAATATTTAAATCGAATATAAAATTACGAGAATAATGAATGGGATTAAGTCAAGTGATGACATCTTCACAACACACAATCGGGTTGGTTTCGTCCAATTTGCACTTTGACCCTCACACGTGTAACGCTCGACCAGACACCATGGTGGCCAGACGTTGTTTACGTAGTGTACCTCTCTTTTTCTGAAGTAGGCCGGTGATACGTGAGGGAGTGAATGTTATTTGATTGTTTAACAGCTGCTGGTTTCAGAAGCCGCTGAAATGTCTAAAGACAACCTAAAGGATAAGTTAGATGGAAATGAGTTGGATTTGAGCCTAAGCAACCTCACGAAAGTGCCTGTAAAGGAATTGGTAAGCCGGTGACACATTATTTGTATTTCTTGTTTGAATGACTCCTCCTCCTTCTTGCTAGGCCTACCTTACCTAGGCTAGGCCTACTAGCTCTACCATGGACAGGCTTCTTAGGCAGGCCTGGATGATCCCCGTTATAATAATAAGTTAGGTCAACAGAAGCTCACTCAGATATAGTAGTAGGCTAGACTGGGCTAGGCGTGGGAAGGAGCCCTCCTAGGCCGGCTTCATACGAGATAGGCTTATTATTAGTTAGGCCAGCTAGGGGCCTACATACGAGATAGGCTTATATATAGGCCTATATGGTAGTCTAGTAGGCTAGAGAGGGCTATGGGATGGGCATACATCAGTAGAAGAAAGACTAAGCCTAGTTTAGTTAGATTTCTGGACAAAACAGCAATAAACCAATATGGCAAAAAACCAAAACTGCAACACTCTTTGACCAGAATGGCAATAGACCAAAACAGCAATAAGTCAAAACGGCAAGACCAAAAACGATGCTAAACAATTTATATCATAAATGTAAAAACAAAAAAATAAATTAATCATAAAAGTGAAAGTGTACTACGATTAAATACGGTAAAAATGAGGCTAAATAGCAGCAGCAGGAGCAATAAAATCATTAACAATAATAATAATAATAATAATAATAGTCATAGAAATTCAATATTAAAAAGATTGGGATTGGGGTGAGAAACAATATAAAAGCAGTAAAACATTTAAACAAATAAACTTTCAAATAGAGACAAAAACAATTTATGTCATAAAAGTAAAAAAAATGCGAAATAATAATAATAATAAACAATAAAAGTGGGAAAAAGAGCCCATGGCTTATTCTGTATAAATTTTTATATAATTACAATATTAATAATAATAATAATAATTGCAATAGTAATAATAATAATAATAATAATAAATTGTAATAATTGCAATAGTAATAATAAATTGTAATAATTGGTTTTATAATAACAGAAATTTTAATAATAATTTTAACTATGCGATTTTTATTTTTTATTTTTCTTCCTTGTGAGAATGTTGCTTTTTTAGAATTTTACTGTTTTTATTTATTGACCTTTTTTTTTTTTATGTGTCTATATATTATTGTACATTCTAGAACTCGTATTTGTTTTGCAATAAATTTATATTTAATTGAATTGAATTAGATTTGCCTATCGGGGCAATTTCAAAACAATTCAGGAAATTGTAACTGTACTGTAGCCCGCGTCCACTGCCACTTGGTAGTCTTGTCATTGATTTCGCTCCTTTGCCATTTTGGTCTTTGCCGTTTTGGTACTAGTCATAACTGCTTTGGTCTGTTGCCATTTTGGTACTTTTCATTGCTGTTTTGGTTAATTGCCATTTTGTTCATTGCTGTTGTGGTTTATTGCCGTTTTGACCTGCTACCCTTACTCTAGTTAGCTAGACCTACTTTAGCTAGGTGCACACAAACAAGTATATCCTTCAATTGACTTCAAATATAGTTGCTCATTAATTTAATGGAAAGAAAACATTGATGTGATCAATCTACTGTTTAGATGACAAAAATTGGTTTAATATTTACTGATTTATGCTAAATTTAATAAAATAAATTTTTTTCCAGATTTATGTATGTTGGCCTATCTTGAATGTGTGACCGTATGCATGCACCAAGCGAACAGCCTAGCTAAGCCTAGAAGCAATGTCTCCTCTCTGTGCACTCGTTGTGGTAGTCTACGCAATGACACACCACTCATATCGCGGCCTAGATTGGCTCAGACTCTACCTATCCTAGGGGCACTTAAACACTCAAAAGCAATAAAATTGTTTTTTTCAAATGAATAAAAAGTTACCTAGCATTCACAAAACAACCCATACCCTAAATTTTTTGAATGCGTTCATGATACCTCAAAAACTAGCAAAAATTTGCATGGAAAGTCACAAGGAAAACAGGCACGCAGAATTGTAACTATTGTACTGCATAATACATTGGTTATATATATATATTAAGATTAGGTCAAATCCTAATTTTTGGCAAAATGTGAGTGGAAAATGGCCCTTATTTTCTGACAGATTTCTAGGCCTAGGCAGTCTGGACAACAACAAGATTACAGACATTGGATAATTAAGTTGAAAGAACACAGTTTGGTGTACGGAGAATTTTTGTATGGCCATAGATAATTTAATTGTTTTGATTGGTGTTTTTTTTTTTTTTTTCTTTCAGGCAGCTCTCCCAAAAGCAACTATCATAGACTTGTCCTGTAACCAGCTGCAGACATTACCAGTAAGTATAAGGGTTGGCAAATTGTGAGTATTAAGGAGCTTTCGATTTGCACTACGACACAACGCTAGAATGGAATCACTCGTGCGTGACCGTCCTTCGTTCTTTGCATACATAGATTTGGCCAAATTGCATTCCAGAATCTACTCGACGAGGTGACCTTAACGTTCTCGCATGCGCAGATGACTTTAGTGACGTCATTACGTTCTACCGTCGTCGTGCAATCGAAAGCTACCTATTATCATACAGCTGTCCCCCATGTTGGTTATCCTTACTCTTAAGAGAGTCCAACACTTCACCTGGTCTACAGCTATATTTTATTAGGTATATCGCTAACTACAGCGGAGCAATTCCAACAGAAGGCTGTGTCAGCCTTTTAAGTCAAATGTATTGTTCAAATTAAAGATTGTTCAAAGAGTCCAAATATCAAAATTTCTTCTCTAAAATGAAAGCTGAAAACTCAAATATAACATAAATATCGCCACATTCACATTGTCCAACAATTTTTCTGGTTGTTTGTTATGCTGTAAGTATGCAGGGGCGTAGGCTGGATTTGGCCTGGAGGAAATCAAGAATGCAAAACAAAATCATTTTTAGTATTTTAACCCAATTAATTTAACTAATTTGCTGCCCTAAATTGGACAGATGTACAGTACTTTCTTTTAGGTCTAATAAAAAAAAAAATGTTTTAATTAACAAAGTCACACATAAAAGACAAAATGTCAAATTTAAACTAGATGTTATATTAAAATTACAACTGACAGGGGCGGATACAGAATATTTCAAATGGGGGAGGGTAGGGGGCACACAACAAGTTTCAGAATAGATAAGTTAGTAACAGATAACACTGATATGCATTAGAATTTTGAAAACTAGATTTCAAAACTGGGGCGTGTGTCCCCAGAGAATGAGAGTGAATTTGATTTGCAACCTCACCACATCTTGGCTAAATAGTAACATACTGCTTGTGCCTGCATCTTTAATGATTTGTACTCTATTTTGTAAGTCAGTCGTCACATCATCACTTTCATGTTCACATAATTTTCCTATTCTCCTATCAAACACTAATTCAATATAGTGCCTCAATGAAAGCTGGTGGTTTTTCATCGCAATGACAATTTCATTGCTAGTAAAGCTCTGAATGCACACAGCGTACATGTACCTAACAAATCTCGTTCAACTGCACTGGCTAACACGAATGAAGCCTACACCTCTGACCTAGGAAAGGCCTAGAAAGGCATATGTTTGTGAGATAACAAGGCAGTTGACTTAAAAATGAACTGAAAAGTAAAGCCTTAAGAACCATTATTCCTTCAAGAAATTGCCTTCAGCCCTACAGGCTTCTGAGGCCTCTATTTTCTATAGGGGCCTCAGAGCTTGACCATATTGCATAGTATAACAATTATTTTCATTATTATTATTATTATTTGCAATTTCTGTTTCCTCTCCAAGGATAATATCGGCATTTTGTCGCATATTGTTAAACTGGATCTGAGCAAGAATGTGCTCACCAGTTTACCGAATGGAATTGGCAACCTGCCAAAGCTTCAGCACTTGGACCTCCTTGGTAACAAGATCAGAACGTTACCCACCAGCGTCGCGCAGTTGAAAGCCCTGCGATGGTTAGACTTAAAGGAGAATCCGCTGGAAGAGCCTCTTAGACGAGTTGCTGGCGACTGTTTGAATGATAAGGAATGCAGAATTTGTGCAACAAGGGTAAGGCAAAGTTACTTAATGAATTTTGGAAGTAGAAAAATTGGAATATAAAACTTTTCTAAATCGTGGCCAAGCACCGCTAATATATCTGCATGCAACATTGGCACTGGTTTGAGCCATTCTTTGCCCAGGGTTGCTAGAAGCAAGTCTTCTCAGATAAGGTCTTAAAATGAAAACACAGCTACAACCCTGCATTCTGATGGGTGTTGCTGGCTCTGAACTTAATAGTAATAATATGTTACACGCTATCGGTTAGCAAGCGCTGTCAGTTAGCAAGTTGAGCGCATTTCTGTCATTAATCAATCACACGTACACATTTCCAGTTTCCTATTGGCCAGTGATTTCTTGTATGAACCCACAAGTCAGCATGTGTGTTATTTATCTCGATCCTGCTCGCCCATATTTAGTCATGATGTGTCTGTATATGGTCATGATGTGATGTCATCATGACCATATTTAGGCATATCACATGTTTTTCTCAAATTAAAATTTGATACTGTAGTCTGGACAAAGGTTAAAATAATCATGAGGGTGATTATTATTTGCATATCGTTTCTATTTGTAATGTTTTAAACTTTTTTTGTTCATTTTTTCTAATCAGGTACTAGCTTACATGAAAACTAAGAAAACAGAAGATGAGAAGAAACGTCAAAAAGAACTTCAAATTTTAAAAGGTAATGTCTATGACCTCAAAGCGACAAGGCAAGTCTTTTTATACCGTGTTATTAAAAATGGTAAGAGCAGGGTGGAAAAATATATTTGGTAAAATGGTTTTGCCAACTGTATCTAGCCAAAGGCAAAATAGTATATAAAATTTTATTGATGAATAAAAAAATGCTAGAGTGCGAGTTAAAAAAAAGTAGGAGGTTGCTTTTTTTGCCAGAATTCCTGTCATACGATTGTAAAGAGTGCGATGTTACAACGTAAACAGTATAGTAATGGGATTGATAAATGCTTTAAATTTAAATAATTAAGAAAGAAATAAATGTTTCTTATATTTGAGAATTTCAAAGCAACGGCAGGCATTTAGAATTTTATTTTGAAATTGTGATCATCGGCAGGTTTTGCTAAACAGGATCTAAAACAATTAGTTACCTTTATGTAAACTTCGTCTCTTGGATTTCTGATCATTCTGGTAATTTATCCGATATCATGGACAGATAAACAAAACATTAATTCAACTATCATTACAGAACAAGAAGCCCAGAAAGAGAAGCTTAGGCAGAAGAATGAAGAAAAGGAGAGAGAACTTAAAAAGCAACAGAAAAGAGAAGAGAAGGAGATGCGACGGAGGCAATACGAAGAAGAGCAAGCCAAGAAAAAATTAGAAGAAATGGAATTGGAGGAAGATGATGAAGGTAAATTCCCACCTCCTATTAACAACTCTCACATTTGTCACGGTGAATACCGCTGGCGGATCCAGATTTTTTTTTGCTGGGGAGACATGAGCGGCAGTCACGGGGTCGAGAGAGGAAGGTTTTGGGGTGTTCCAATTGTGTGGGTTCAGGGGGTTGTGGGAAGCTTTGGAATTTAAGCCATTTTAATCTCTTATCTAAATCGTTTCACACTTGGTCAGTGATTTCTTTTTTTATTTTTTGCTGCTGCCAGAGGGACATGCGCCCCTTTTCCCACCCTCTAAATTCATCACTGAATACATTTCTTTTTGGGGTCCCAAAGGCATTTAATTCTAAATAGAATAAAGTTGATCAAAATCATAATTTGGCAGATTATTAATTAAAAATCTTCATACAACTTGTACATAACATGGTAGTGTAGTTGTACACTCACTTATTTGAATGTTAGCTCATGCTTAGGTTAAAACTGTTGCCGTGTTCACTCATCCATAGCTTGTGTTAGCTATAAAGAAGATAGCTTTCATTTCATAACCTATATTTTATTAGCCAGTATTAAAATCACTATCATCAATATTTTACATTTTCTCTCTCATACATACCTCATCCAGCACTTGCATATGTTAGCTCATGCTTAGGTTAAAACTGTTCACCCATGCATAGTATGTGTTAGCCATCATAAACAGATAACTTTCGATTCACAACCTGTATTGCATTAGACAGCCTCATCACACATTCTGTATCATCAGTATTTTACATTTTCTCTCTGATACAGAAGAACTCATTCAGCAATCTAATGGAGTTGGTGTCTCAGAAGGTCATCATGCTCAGTCGGGGCCCACATGCTGGGTCATTTTCTTCAGCATAATCTTCCTGCTGGTTGCGGTTATCATAGGAATATTCTTCTACTGCGACACATATGCAAGTGTTCCCCAGTGCGAGACATTCAACGTTTATGTAGAAAGGTGTCAGAAGTATGTACAGGAAGTAGCAAAGCAAGCTGGGATATCTTAAAGGGTCAAAAATCAACAGGGAGATAATTTGCATAGGCTGGGATACTGGCAAGATTTAATTATTTTTTGGCATTTTATTTTTTTCTGGGGTACTATTCTGAACCCTGGGAATGTACATTTCTCATTGCCACGATGAAAACCATTGTACTTCAACATAACAGATATATATTGCAGAGTAAATCAATTAATAAGATGATGGGAGGCTGGGAAGGGGAGGCTAATTTGAGGGGAAGCCACTTACGGAAGATCTGGATATTGTATGTTGTGATACCCATGTTCAGCTGACTTCAGGAAAAATAAGAAGGAACTTTAACTCGCAAAATAAGGTGATTTTAGGTGCTTTTTAACAACTTGACCATGATTTTTGGGGTGCGCGAATAATTTTTGGAAGTTTGCATCCCCCTAGATACGCCACTGATAGAAATGTTACAGTCAGTCAAAATACGTACCACAGAAATTCATTAACAAATGAAAGCTGTGTATTATACAATATCAGAGTTTTGTCTGTCAGATTAATCAACAATATATTTAATCAGACTTTTGTTTGTACAAGCTTTGTCCACAATATCAACTTTTCTTTGACAAAACAATGTTTTATGCCCATATATAGTCATCGTGTCACAAATGAAAGCTGTGTATTTATACAATATCAGAGTTTTGTCTGTCAGATTAATCAACAATATATTTAATCAGACTTTTGTTTGTACAAGCTTTGTCCACAATATCAACTTTTCATTGACAAAACAATGTTTTATGCCCATATATAGTCATCGTGTGGCTATATATATTCATGATGTGATGTCATCATGACCATATTTAAGCATGTCACATGTTTTTGTCAAATAAAATTTGATAGTCTAGACAGGGCTTTACATCATGTATTTTTCATTTTTATTGTTAACAAATAAAAGTCTGATCAGATAAAATCTTTCATCATGTCTAAATATAGATTCCTTTTTATTGTACCAAGAATAAATTTTTAAATAGCAAGCATTTGCGACAAATTGATTTGATTTTGATGTTTTAACCATTTATTTAACTTCAAGGTTAGATTGATTTGTCTGACCTTTAACCTAAACATATACAAATTATATCACAATGCCAGGGTGGTGCTTGCCAAAAACGCATTTGGTTAGGTTTTATAAGCCTGCTTTCCATTATGCGAATTTACTTGCGCAAATTGAAAGCGTGGGGTTGCTTCCTGAGCTCTGATTGGTTGCACATTTTTTTTCCCGCTTTGCAAAAAAAATTAGAAACAGTTCAAACTATTGATTTCGCTGAAGCAAAAAACTCTGATAGAGATGTGAACGCGCATGAACGGACGCTTTTCATTAGAGCGAATGAAACAGTGGAACAGGCTTTAGAGATCATACATTCAGTATACTGTATTACTTTTTAATCTTCTAGAATAATTTCTTCATCCCTGGCAGTATAAAAATAGACTTCACCTATGAACTACAGTACAGTATTGACTAAATTATTATTATTATTTATCAGAATTGTCTTCTTTTAGGACCAAATATATGAAATGTGTGATAGTATTTATTTCTGTGTATTGTTCAGTTGGGGAAGTATGGACAGTCACAAAGGCATTAATTTTATTTGAACACCTTACTCCTTGAGTATGGACAACTGTGAAGGCATTATTATTAATTGAATGCCTTGCTCATGAAATATAGGTAGCCATGAAAACATCAATTTCTTTCAATTGGAAAGTGGTCTTGCAAACATTTAAATATATGTTTTTAGTAAATGTATTGAGAAACAATGGCAACATGTATATGTGGGAATAAACTAAGAAACTAAAAATGCTAATAGAATGCAAATTTGCAAAATTGTTATAAACATGCCTTTAGTCAACATATCTCTAACACTTATTGTTCTATATTATTAAGAAAAATCAACTTTATTAGTAATACTTATCTGCGGAATCCTGCAAGACCATCACATACACCGTACTGTGTGCCACACTCAACTATGGTAATGTACTTTTATTTCGACTCACGGTTACGCAATTAACTTTTCTTCAACATGCTGAGAACACTGCTGCAAATTGCCAATGATGACTTGCACCTCAGTATATTGCCAATATTCTTTATATCCCTAAATGAAAACTCAAGTCGTATGGTCATCGTTTTTCTGTGCAGCAACCATGGTTTATGGAATACTTTACCCATGGACATAAAAACTTTACAAAACATCAACATTTAAAAAAAAAAATCCTGAAAGCCTACCTGTTCTCGGAAGCATTTCCAATTTAACTTTGTTGAGAGTGGCTTTGAAAATTATTACAATGGATACCAGCGCTATATAATTTCAGTTGATTGTCTCATTAACAAATACTGTCTTAACGCAAGAAAAAAAATGATATACAGACACATACTCTGGTTTGTCAAATTTATTCAGTCAAATGGAAGATAAATTAAGGAATGTATCCGAAAATAGTAAATAAAGATATTTCCATACTATCAGGTTTTATGTGGGAATGATGTAATATGATACCCATATATGGCAATATACGATGAATATCTCAACGCAAGGGGAAAAAACTGATTACTCTGGTTTGTCAAATTTATTCAGTCTAAATTTAATTTCACCATTGGACGATACATTAAGGACTGCATAATTGGAAAATAATAAATAGGTATGTCCCCATTATCAAGTCTCATGTGACAGATTTGTGTAATTTACCCATTTATGGCCATGATGTCATATCATACCCATATATGGTCAAATCACACACATTTTTCACATAAAACATGTAAAGCTTGTCAGGCGTACACTAACAAGAGTTTGATCAGTCTCTGAATGTGTATGCTTATTTTTATATATATCTCATCAAACAAAAAAAAAAATGTTTGATGAACATTACCAGAGTCTGACAAACACTTTTATAATGTATATATCCAGATGAAAACACATGTATTACTAAATGCTACACTACCAAACATTTACAAACATTTTTTTTGATATATCAGGCACATAATGGGGGGGTGGGGAGGGTAGAATGTTTTTTTTCCAGCCCCCTTTTTACCAGTTTACGTATTGTAGTACCGGTAGTATTTTATCATAACTTTGTGAGTTTAACTTGGCAAAATGGGAAACCTGAAGGCCTACATGTATAACAACTTATTTAAAACAAAATGGTTATTATATTTTAATAATGGCATGTTAGGATAACTAGATCATATCTCAATTTTTCCCATGTCAATAAAACAAAAATAATCTTCACAAAAACTTTTAAAACATGTAAAATTTGATTAAATTTTTATTCTTCATTAATTAAAATAAAGTTACTGGTAATAATTTGCACCACATAAATGTACATGTAAAACTCAATAGACTTTTGCTTTATCAGCAGACTGAAAGTTAACTGGTACTTGTGACATGCCTAAATATGGTAATGATGACATCACATCATGACTATATATGGTCATACACAAGTTTTTGTCGAAGAACCTTTGATAATATGGACAGATTTTAGAAAAAAGTGGTGAAATTCAGGGCACAGAACATATTTTTATATCCTATAATTATAATCAAAACTGGAAAATATAAACATATCAAGAATATACATTATTATACTTTACATAAAAAAACACTAAAATCTAAACTTAGTCCAAAACTGAATTACGACCTTTTTTTATTCCTAAAATGACTAAAATCATTTCAATGTTATTAATTAAATCACATATAAAACATCAAATATTTAGGTAGTTAAATGTTAATAATAAAAATCGATCTTCACATTTTTAATGAAAACATTAAAATACAGGAAAAAAAAACATCAAATAATAATTAGTATAAAAATCATTAATTATATCAAACATCAAATATTTAGATCATATATTAGTTAATATTTAAAATGAGTATTTCGATGTAAGCATACAATTACAAAAAAAATAACATTAATTGCATCATGTTCAAAGTAAAATAATTAAAAAGTATAACAAATGTATATGATTATATATAAACATATTACATTTATATATATATATATATATCGACTCATCACAGAGTTTAATTAATTCATGGCCGTTAAATTGCACAAATCACGGCAACTGGTTTCTATAGCAACTAATTAGCATAATTATTACAACACTTAAAAACAAAATAACAACAGATATACTTGTATCAGGTTCATGTTCGATCAAGGCAACTCATGATTCAGCCAATGACAAGATAGAAGCCTGTTGGATGTTTATATTTTCATTACACATAAACAAGCATCTTACCACATAGACATGTAAACCATAATAAATATATTATATAATCAATATATTTAATAATAAATGGACCAATAATATAATTTTATTTGTTCACATAATTTTTCTTGAAATATCCAATTTATATAATATATTGATTTTTTTCAGCAGAATTTTGTGTAAGAAATACACAATACAAATTTCATCTTATCAAATATTCTGTTACTTAGAATATAAACAAAATATGGCTTAAAAAATTATATAGATATAGTCATTTTATGAATATGTAAGGTAAAAACCTTCTGAAGCAATGGAAAAAAGTTGAAAGCGTGATACTAGACACCATAATCTTTTTGAGGTAGGCCTCATAACCATTATTGTCTTTAATTTTTTTCCACTTAAATTTCATTTGGAAAACAATGATATGTCACTCCTTGGAAAATCCCTGATCAGTTTTAAAAAGTTTTAATAAAAATGCCATTGTTTCTAATATTTGGACAAAAATACCATTTTATTTATTAATTACCATTTTTTTACTTACCACATTAAATATTTAAAAAAAACTTTGGAAGGAAAACAAAAAAACATACTTTAGTATGAAAGACTAAGTTTGGAAAATATGTTTTCTAATTGATGATTCTTCATACACTACTATTGTACTGTAACTGTATTAGAAAATAATATGTATAGATTTACCCACTTGATTTTCAAGTCCTTTATAACATTTTGCTGGTTGTAAATCCAGTCATCTTTCAGTTGAAGAATGTTAGCACTTACAACTGGTGTCCACCATCTAAAGACTGGATTATTAAATGGCACATTACTGTATAAGAATGCCTAAAGGTTGAAACCATCAACAAAATTTAAGTTTGATTAATATTAGTCAAAAACCAAGGAATCAATTTGGCATTCTTTAAGTAGACCAGGTGTTGGTTGAATGCTTGGGTGCTTAAGTCACCCATCAGTCAGGCCAAGCCCTCCCTCGGCCATGACTTAACCTGAAAATAGGTGATTTTTTTAAAATAAAAATTTAGGGAATGTGTGATACAATATCCCAGAACAGCTTAAAATGGCCTAAATTTGCCTAGGTTTTCTAGGTGTAAGGAAGACCTACCAAAAAACACATCCATAGACCCCGCATGTTTCCATCAGAAATTGTCTGACACACCCTCCCCCCACTCCGTTGGACAGCTTACCCCTCTGTCACCCAAATGTAGTTGGAGAGTACCTTGGTAATATTGTGTATGTGAAAAATGAAAAAATCCAACCAAGTACTGCTAAAAAATTGTTACAAAAATTCTCTGACATTCTTAAATTATAAAATTGATAAATGCTCATACATATTGCTGACAATACAAACAAAAATGATAATCTGCAACAAAAAAAAAATTATGATAAAATATAAATGAAAAATTAAGTAAATATCATTTGCAATGAATATTGCTAAACAATTTTAAAGCTCAGAAGAAATATTAATTTTTTTTAACCTGATCTATTTTACAGACTTTGTTATGAAAATATGTTAAGAATAAAATATTAAAAGTCACATTAAGTTGGAATAATATGCATAATAAGCACCATAATTTTTTTTACAATGGATTATTTTACAAACAATTATAACCTTGAGTTTCAAAATGGAAAATTGTATAATGCTGGTCTTAGCCAACAAGATGTTTTCATGGCGTTATTTTTATTCCTATTACACTATGTCATGTTATAAATTTCAGTTATACACCATATGCAAACTGCTCAACCTAGGGAATATACTTAATTATCTGGCTACTTTAGTACCATACCAAATTCATTCCCGATTCCCGATCAATCACATCCTACCAGGTATCCATACTCCTGGATGGAATGAGAAAAGCGTATTGTGGATACAAGTACAGGGTGGGATTACAACCTCCTCACTTCAATGTTGAGAGGCCAAATCACAACCACTCTTATAGTCACATCCCTGTAAATGTGTGTAATATATTAAACGTTCTAAAAATGTTGTTACTGTTAGTAGTAGAAGAGGTAGATTGTAATTACATCAGTGACAAATACTCTATACTTGGCCAAGTGATTCTCTATAGGACGTGGTCTGTCTCAAGTCTACAGACATTTACCATATATACTAGTGTATAAGGTGAGGCTTAAAATAGCAAATTACGATAAAAAAAAAACGGGGGTCTTATTCGTGCGACACAAATTTTAGATTTCTAAACTTATGTTCGTCTTTTGTGGAGATTTTACCTTACTGCAATGAAGCTACTACAATTTTAGACCCAGGATTAATGCATTTTTACACCTTATTCCCCCAGTTTTTAAATATTAAAAAATCTGTATCTCATTCACCGTTCCCCAGTTTTTCGTCAAACAACTTTTTTCTGTCTTAGAAAAATCAGTTCTACAACATATCAAAACATTTTTTTCCTCCGGAGCCTGACTTTAAATATACAGTAGAACCTCAATTTTACGTACGGTACGGGACCAGAGGGCGTACGTAAATCGGGGGATTCGTAAAATAGAGGTTGGGTTAAATTTGTGGTAACCTTTGACCCAATACGTATGTAATGCTTAATAAACGTATGTACGAACGAACGATGATACCTAGGCTAGACCTAGCCTCTAGGCCTACGAATAAAGCCATGTGTTTAGTGTTCTTATTCATCACTTTACGATGTCATAATAAAGTGTTCAAATAAAACCATCTGTCTAGTGTATTAATTCATCACTTTATATCTTTTATTTAACTAAAATAAAGAACATGAAAATATTGTAAGATTACCTATACGACAAAGGTATACTTGGGAATTCCCCTTCATGCCTATCCTAAACAAC